GATGCTCAATTTATTTCTGAGGAGGTACTATGTTTCCGAGTAGGTACTCAGTACATAGAGAAGATGCTCAGGTATATAACGAGCAACTACTCGCTAATACTTAAGTGGGTACTTCGTACTTCGAGTATAAGCATCTGCTCAATTTTATTCATACCACCCATGTCAGATGCAGGAAATCTGCTACAGTGGCGAAGGCAATCAATGAGAAAGAAAATAGAAACAACAAATAAAATATTTTTTTCCAATTTCTACTAATAAAATGCTGATTTTGTATGTTAAATCTCGCTATTAAAACAATAGTTTAGGTAATCGAAAGGATGAATAAAATGGTTATAGCAACACTTTATTCACACTATCATTGACAACACGAATAAAGTAAAAAAACTAAAAATTCGCACTACCACTGAAATTTTCGTTGCTATGGATGTGTAAACATTATTCAATTAAAATTTGCAACGCTTGATAGTCCACCTCCTGTAAAACAATCCTAATGAAAGACCAGGAACATCCTTTGAATTTGACCGTGACGAAAGTACAGGCAACTTAGGGAATTTACCTTCTTTAAATGTTCATCATATTAGTAATAGTACAATTAATATTTACATAAATGGATTACCTAAGCAATATTTTTTTTTTAATTTTGCGGAATTGACGCTATTATTTACTTTATTGGCTTCTAAACCGATAAATTTAGTCTATCAGGGGCGGCTCATGACTTGAAAAGTTGATGAGGCAAAGCATAATACGCTCCAAAATATAAATAAATCAAGATTACTTAAATATTTTCTACTTAGTCAAATAAACAAATTTGTAAACTCATTTGACTGTCCACCAAGAACCAACGTGAAGGTGTAAGGAACTCTTGTAAGGAAAGGATGGGAATGACAGGACAAAAGGACAGGGAAACGTGGTTAGAAAAAACTAATATAACTTCTAATAAAAAACAATATTAAAATAAACTTTAAAGAAAACATATGGAAAAAAATCAAATACAACATAAAATAAATCTAATTTTATTTATAACAAAAAACAAAACGAAAAAAATATAAAACATAAATACTCTGGATTTATTTTAAATTTTTTTATAGATCAATTAACGATTTACGCAAATCAGGAACCGGCCGTTTTAATTGCTTAACTACATACAATTTATCATCATACGTGAAAGTAGAAAAAACAGAACTGCCATTGTCACTTAACGTTAGTAGAGAAAAATTCCGATTTACTCGTAATCTTAAATAACGATTACAGAAATCAAATTATGACAGCACAAAACACTAACGCGACACACGCAAACGTAGGCACTTTTAAGACAAAATTCTGTTACCGAAATTTTGAATCAATTTATACACACACAGATTTGTGGCAAAACAATCAACGGCCTAATTTTGAATACTTCTGCAAATGCAAATTATTGGCCGAAATGTGTTGTTAAAAAATAGTAAAAATCCTAATAAGGCGTAAAATTCATTAGTGAGGCACTGCCTCACCTGCCTCATAGGACAAGCCGCCCCTGTAGTCTATGTATAAAAAGCGGTTAAGAGTGCATTTCATTAATTAAAATAGAATAGTCGACATTAAAATATAACTGTTAAAAGTGAGATTTTATTTTGTGAATGTGGAAGTTTGGTTTTAACATGAATACCTACCATAGGCACACTATTTTTTATACAAACACTGTAAAAAGCAACAGAAACAAAAAAAAACAATAGTTATTTATGCAACTAGTGAGTAAAATGTATCTTTTTTTCACGAGAAGGAAAAAGTGCGCAAATCCGTCGAGTGAAAAAGAGTCACTTTACTCACAAGTTGCATACAAAACATTTTTCATGTTAGTAACAAAAATCAACAACACTACTTCAAAAACTTTTTATCTTAGAACATAGATATTAAATGTACAATTAAGCGGCTTAACAATTTGAAGTTTAGGATCTAATGCAGTATTTAAATCTACTGAAACGGCTTTAGTGCTACAAGAACTGATATTCTTCAACCAAGAACATCATTGTTGATATTATTCGCACTGGAACTTGCTGGATTGGAAATAATATTTCTGGAATCTTGTCCTCCTGTCAAGATTTTACTCGTGCAGTCCATTTTATTTTGAATGGAATCATCAACGTATCCTTCCGCAATAGCATTTGATTTACAACCGCCGTGTTTTTTCAGCTGGATTACATCTCCCTCAGAATCTACTAGTAAAGACGCGAAAGATTGTCTGAATGCATGGCCAGTATAATGATAAGTAGTTGGAATACTGAAATATTTAGCAATAATGGACTGAATTTTAGAAAAAGTATTGATACCCACAACTTGGGTTTTGCAATTACCGTTTCGAATTTGCAAGAAAAGTGATTGCTTTTTATATTCTTTGGTCGTTGGGCTTTATATTTCCGGTAAATTTTGATTAAATCCAGGTTTTTCTGAATTGTTTCGCCAACTACGGTAAATCGTCGCTGAATAGTGTTTTTGAATCCGGAATCCTAATGATCAAAATAGGTCCCTTGTTATTAATATCTTCCAGTACAGTTCTTCACGACGAAGGGCTTCCGCGATTTCAAATACCAAACCGACCTACAAACAACAGTAGATTATGATACGCATAAGAGAAAAAAATGGCATTACCTACCTTATGCATCTTCGAGGAATTTGTAGACTTCTTCCCGGGAAAATGTTTCTGATTTTGTATGTTTATAACCAACCGCCTTGTTTTTTAAATAAGCGATTAGTTTTGAGTATTTACTTATATTCACATTGTTATTTATTAATAGCGTAGACTTTATTTTAGACTAAGACGACCAAAGTGTTGACGACTTCCACTGTTTTGACTTTTCTTCAAAGTCGGCTAATAAAACTCTTTCAGTAAAACTATAGACTTGTTTTTTAGCTCTCCATTTCATAAATAAGTCGCATTCTTTTTATATTGACTTTTGAATTTTTCCGGCAATAAATTCAATGTAACCGTACTTGCTGTCTTGACAATTTCTTCAGGGGTGCACGAGAAATTTTCATCGCTGTCCGATTCTATTGTGCGAGCAGACAAATTATTATCACAAAACACCTAGAAAACTTATACAAAGCACTGGTATATGGATTAAATTACAACATTTTTGGATGCATTTTTATTTCTGACAAATGTGTTGATGAATCGTCATAGCAACGGCAGGCCTTATTCTATGTTTTCCGTTTAAATGTCTTCCGTTAAAAATGAAACGCTATGACACTTTTTTCACGCTTCTACATATTGCGATGAAACAAACCTATCCTTTACAAACAAAAATTAATAAAAAAATGTTATATTTTTAATGAACGTAAAATAAATGTTATTAATTTTTAGAAATAAAACGAACAACATCGGGGTAGATGTGACCAAATTCAGAGAAACTGTCAGTTTGTTCTTTCTTAGGTACAAACAAAACGTTGCATAATAAATGTTTACAAGCACACCAGTGTTAAAAGTAAAGTAACCTCATTTGACATACACCTGTTAAAACTTTTATGACTTAAGCGGCTTAAGTCAAACCACCCTTATAAGTCAAACTGGCTATTGTATTACTTAACTCACTCACAGCTACATTATGCCAACAATGGACAGTACTAATCTTGCGGTTCGGGTCCACAAAGCTTACAATAGCCAGCTTGAGTTCTAAGGGTGTTTTGGCTTAAGCCGCTTAAGTCATAAAAGTTTTAACAGGTGTATGTCAAATGAGATTTGTGTAATTGGCTTTTAACACCAGTGATACAAAGTGACACTTTTACCGTATCATGACAGATGTTAAAAAGCTTACTTTTAATAGTGTTTGTATAAAAACTTTTTTTCCATATGTACTTCTAAGGTGCCTGTGTTTGAACTTTTTCGGGCAGCGAAGTGGCACTTCTCAGCCTGTAAATCACTTCTCTGCCCCTAACGACGGTATTATTCACTAATATAACCTTAGCAACCACAACCAGTTGATACGATTAAACGATGAATGCGTATTTCCTGTGGTATGTATTGTGCATGAAGTAGTTAAAAGTTTTAGTTAGAAGTACTAGTCAAACAATTATATGTTCACCATGGACAAGAAAGCTTCGCTGTTACGTCGGGATTTGCATACTCGACTAGGCCTCGTACGCAAAACTTCCCGACTAGACAGCGACCTCTCACTTTTCGTCCTTGATAAACAAATAGAGCAATTATTATTTTACAACAGGTGTTCCAAGGGTTCACTAGTTACGTCATAGTAATGGAATAAATAAGTGGTTTGCGGGTTTTATATTTTAGGGCCGTCAGGTTTCGAATAAATTAATTTGAGTTTAACCAAAATGTTGATGAATTGAAAATGTAGGACTAAGTAAGGTGACGTGATATGAAAAAATGATCTGTTTTTTTTTTTATAAAGATGCTTTTGACCGGAAATTTTAGCAAAAAAATACTTTCTGACGTGCACACTTCAGAGGGCTAGGAAAGTACTGTCTCAACTTTTTAGACCAATTTTTTGTTAAATTTGCAGCGCGTGGGTTTCCATGTAGTAAAAGGTAACAGATTTAATTTATTTTTGAAGCGTTTTGGAATACATGCAGTGAAACAAACGTGGATTTAATTTTCGTAATCTCGGATCATGATGTACGTCTAGTGCTAAATTCAATTGATTGCGTCTTTTCGCATCGAGGCGTAGCGTGATGCGTGAACCATCGTGACCCACATCAAATCATGCCACGCGTCCATCCTTAGTGTCTGTCAATAAGCTATCAAGCGAGAAAATCGCTCTGGTTTTCTGGTTTACATGATATCTCTTTATCATTTAGTGCTGTCATGTGCTAACGCTCTTCGTGACTTGGACCTATATTTAATAAAAAGCAACCGATTTAAAATTATCCATTGCTGCTTTAATGCTTTATGGCATTATACGAGCCCGGAACCAATTTACGATATTCTAGGGGTGGCATGGGGTTCAAACCTCCTGGACGTAGCTAAGGTCGATCTTCTGCCGAGTCTTTCCGAGGTACAATCGTGAATGTACGCACGACCAGTGTAGAACCGGCGTCGCGACGCGTCGACCGTGTGATTAAAGTGTGTCGTCGATTATCTGTATATTTCATAGCTAAATAAGTAAACAATTAACAACTAAGAAATTAAACGTTCGTAACTCACTTCATAGCAGTGCCAACATTGTTGAATAAAATTTTAAATGCGGTTTTGTCTAAAGTAATCAAAATATTTTCGTATGTTCGTGTTTATTGGAAATATTTTCATATCAATGTATTAAATATTTTCGAGCCAATTCAGATATTATAAATATGCATACTTTGGCAAATGCTAGTAAAGTATTTTTTGACGTTCTTTTAAATTAGTACGTGAAAAATGGGTGATGTGTTATTTTTAAAAAAATCAAAAATTTTAAACTGTTTAAAAATATAACATGTTTATTTTTTTTCTGTAATAAATTTGGAGTGGACCTTTGTAAGTGTTGTTAAACTGGGAAAGTTTTGTGTAATTGATGCGTTTGATGTTCGTGGAAGGTAAGTTTAAACTTGCATTGATTTATTCATACTGATATGACAAGTTCTTTTTGCGTGATACATATTTTTTTGAAGATATGCTTGCATGTTACTCAAATAATAAAGCAAACAGTTTAATGGTTGATAAATCTGACGGAACATGTCCGTTTATTTAATTGTCTTTTATCGTATCAAACATACAGATATGATTATGATAACGGGTGCATAATCAATTATAATACATCTTATTTCTATCTTCGAGTTTTTAGGATTCAGAGCAACATTTCCCGAGATTGGTTGTTACAAAAAAACAACTAAAAACTAAAAAAAAATAATAATAAGAATAGGACTTGCACAAAGCACACGATTGTGTGACAAGATTACTGTCGTTTGACTATTATCTAACCAGCTGTCGAGAATACGTGTACAATCCTTCTGGCTTATCGTTAATGAATTTTCATGGTTGACACGTTCTTTTAAACATACAAAAATACTTCACAGCTATGAAATAATATTTTAGGCACTAGTTGACTGAAACTTCATGTTAAGGAGATAAACAATTCATTAATTTGAAAACTAGTGTCAACTACTTTTTAACGATCAGTTTTATCACTTCTTTTTCTTTAATGATAGGAAAATTGTTTTGGGATTGATTTATTAACTTTAATATAAAACTGAACAAATTGTATGACCTTAAAATCTTTCGTCTTCTCTGTAAATCACTGGCGGTAAAATTTATAGATTGATTTGTATATTGTTTTAATCTTATATTAAGACGAAAAATTTGTAAAGCACGGGATAATTTGTCTGCGATTAAAAATATTAGATTGTAAGTTACAGCGTCGCTAGAATGTATGGAAACGGTTAAATATCTTGAGAATCAATTGAACAAATCAGTTGAACTTAGGTATAGGGGTACAAGAAGTTGTGCTCTAATTATTCGTCTTAAAAATTGTTTGCTTCATTTATTTTCGAGATGCAAGGCCAACTTGATTTTTTTTAAATGACACTATCACATAATTAATGCATTTTTGAATAGAATTTTGAATTCAGTGATACATTTCAATCATACTTTCTTTCTGATTGAAATGACAAAATAAATTATTGTTAAAAAATAATTAAATAAATTAATAATTATTAGTTTTGATTAACATAAACAATAAATAAATTACCCAATAACAACCGAGACCAAAATTAAACTTCTGTTTTCTCCATTTACTTCCTGGCAGTAAAAAAGATGCTGAATAAAATTTTGTAGTGAGTTAATGAGAATTTTCGGACGAGTGCTAGCAATTTCGTTACGTATCCGTTCCTGTAAGTCTTCAATGTGAATCGTCTATCGATATAAACGCGATTCTTCAAATAGCCCCACAAAAAAAGTCAAACGGTGTTCAATTAAGTACTATCGCCCTTGACGTCCAAAATGGGGTGGAGCACCGTCTTGTTGAAACCAAATAGTTTCTGCTGATAACTCCGGATTTTGGTAATTAGGAAATTCTTTAAGTCTAGACACTATACGTTCCCGCAACAGCCTTAAATATTCCGCAGAATTTAAATTCCCATTAATAAAAAAAGGACCAATTAAAATTGCAAATTAAAATTATTTTCAAAGGTAACTATGTCATCTTCTTTTATTTAAAATAATTTATTTTGTCATTTGAATCAAAAAGAAAATATGATTTTGCTTTGTATTAATGAATTCAGAAAAAAAGCTTTATTCAAAAAACATTATTAATTATATGGAAGTGCCATTAAAAAAAAACAAGTTGGCCTTGCATCTCGAAAACAAATGAAGCAAACAAAAAATTTTAAGACGAATAATTAGAGCACAACTTTTTGTACCCCTATTCCTAATTTCCGGTGATATGTACAATTGGTTCTCAAGATATTGAACCGTTACTATACATCCTAGCGACCCTGTATATTCTGTTCGCTTATAAATACCTCATAGAATTGTATGAATTTGTTTCATCTAATTGAGTTAACACACCGACAATTTATAATTTATGACAACACTACATAATTGAACTGGTCTTGTCAGGCACCTGATATCATTACTACAGTACACCAATACATATCTCCTCTGCAGACACGTGCAATTTTATATTTTAATTTAAATTAAATATTTACAATTTTTGTAGTAGGTATATATTTACCTGCGTTTCGATTTGTTTGTCACTGCTAAATCTGAAAAACTTCAAGCCAGTGGCGTAGCTAACTTCCACTGCGCCCCCCTGCAATTTATAGTAAGCGCCCCCACACACCAAATTTAAAAAGTAATATAAATATGTACTTACTCGTTTGCACACTTTAAAAAATCATATCAGTTACGTTACGGTCTGCGGGGGTGTTATTTACGCCACTGCTTCAAGATATTTTGCAAATTGCTAACAAATAAGAAAAATGCAGCCCTGACCAGCAAGTACCGAAGAGTACGTTAGTATGTACTCAAGCCATAAATCTTGTCAGTTACCCTTCCATCGTTATTAGCCGTAAAATTTTATGAGGTACAAATCAAACGAACAGAGTATATTTATGTAGCATCCTAGTTTGTTTATTTGTATATGGTACATAAACCAAAAAAGAATTATTATATCTAAATCTAGGCCAAGTTCGCAGTTATACATTAAGAGATATTATAAGAGGTATATCCGAGAAATATTAAAATTTTTGTTAGCATACTTACTATTAAACTACTCACGATATTAAAAAAAAAAAACACTCAGCAAGCTAGGAATAGTATATTAAGTATTAAGAACGGTAAGGGGTGTTTACTGATCGAAGGCAAAAGTTTGGAGACGGAGCGAAGCGACGTCTCCAATTTGTCTGAGACCACTAAACCCCCTTAATGTTCGTGATGCTTATACTATTTTTTGTACGACCATCAAAAGATTTGCGTCTTTTTATCAAATTCATAAATTGAAAGAATTTATATCAAACATCAACAAGATCTTTTTTTTTAATTTAAAATTTGTTACTATGGTTTCGATTAATATAAACAACAATTTTAAAAATCAGTTTCCATTTTGACCGCTGTCGATTTATTTTATTTTTTATTTTATTTTATTGATTAACGTTACCCAACAGGCCGGAGGCCCAATTACAGATTTAGATTTGATCTGGCTTGATTTCGAGTTAATTTTCTTTCAGCGACTATAAGTGAGTGATTTATTTGCTTAAAATATCCAATCATAAGTGATGCTAAAAGCGAAAATATCTAAGTCGAACACACATGGAATTTCAAATAAAAAAAATCTTGAATGCATGATTACTTACCGTTCAGCTGAACAGTAAGTAATTTACTTACCGTTCGCTTCTTAGTTGTTAGTCGTAGCAACCCGTAAACTAAACTTACTGCTATGGAAACCTGTACGGTAAATGATCGAAAAAGCGATGGTCGTACAAAAATATAGATTAACTACCATACTACAAATTAATTTTTGTTTTTTTTTTACCTTTTTCAGGGTGTTGTCATTTCTGTTTGAATTCGGCGTTATTACTTGATTTTACCAATACATTCATTATTGTTCTACAATGTTTATATTTTCTGTATTTAATAAATAAATAGATACTACCTACTCAAAACTTACTGTACAAATATCTACTGTAAAGATGCTATTGAATAAAGAGGCATTCAAGTTGGTATACACTGTTCTGATAATAATACCACGACAGTTTCAGCTCTTGTGTGACAATTCAACTGATTTTCAGATATATTTGGGAAGTGTTCACAGTGTTTTCTTAATACGCCCTCTAGAATATTCCAGTCTCTTTTATTTTCTTGAAATTATATCATGTTTAAGAAGCTAGTATCGATTAGTCCGTCTGAATCTTTTTTTATTCTATTTTAATGCTCGTTAAAGAGTTTTGACATTATTATTCATCTATCAAAAGCATTAATTGTGCCATTTAATGAGTTCCGATGAATAGCTGTTGATATTCAAATGGTTGTAGAATATATTAACTAAGTTTGAGATTGAGTAAATTGTGTTTACCTCATCAGCTTATATGTCTAATAAGCCTTAATTTACATGTCATTTGTGTGCTGTTAGCGGCAGATAACGTGTGCAGTTGAAGAGGGAATTTAACGAGTTATTCAGAAACAAATGTTTTAGAACTTGACCTGTAAAAACAAAATAACAGAGATTATTGTATTACAAATTGTTTTACTTTTAATTGTTTTAAGTTAAAACGATTTTAAAACAAAATATTATTTTAAACTTCAAAACGGGCATTATATAAATAAATAACTTTAAATATACATACATATATGTACATATATAAATTTGTTGCCCCATAGAATAATAATACCTATAAGTAATAATAACAGATTATTTAGGTTGAAATAAAATAATATGATATGGTTTATTCTTTTTATAATGCAGAAGAAACCACTATTTGTGCTCGACTAGTTTCGGGGTTTTCTTTTTTCACTTTCGCTATCAAGACTATAAAATACGTCGGTGATTTTATTCAAGTTAATTGGTTCCCTTTTTCTCAAAAAGCGCCATTTGCACTGTTATAATATTTTTCTTGTAACATCGTTTACAATGTCTTTTACCATGTAATGTCACCTAAACTACGTTGTGTTTGTAGTGGGTACATTTACTAGAAAGGCTTGTTCTACCAAAAAATATATATATTTTTTTTACACGCACGTTTCTGAACTTTTTTCTTTTACATTTTTAACTTTTTTATTATTTAGGAGACGTACTTTTCAAATGTTCAAAACCTGTAAGTGTTGAACAAATGAGAACAACTTAACGTGAACACCTATAATTAAACAACTAAAGCCATATTACGTTCATACGATGTTTTCAAGTTTATGATCTGGTGTAGGAAGTGGCAATGTGCTTATTTATCTAGAAATCAATCATTCCAGTTTATTGCTTTGGTTTATAATCCAATAAAGAACTTAACCGATATGCGACTGTTAAAATTAGAACAGTTAGTACTTTAGAATTACATGATTATTATCATTTAACATAAATAGTAAAACAAGATTTACCGTGTTATGAAGAATAAACGATCTAATCGGCAAACGAGAATCCCAAGATTTATATTGTTTTTATGATTAAAATTGATGTCAATTTACAAAATTACTGTGTAAAACAGACAGCATTTTGTAATACTCTTAGGTGTACTACAAAGATGATGCAAACTTTAGATATTTTGCCTCCAATAAAGGTCGTGGCTTTTGTTAACTTTGTTTAAACCGTTTGCAAACAGTAGTGACGATACAAATTCACTGCGTTTGTATATTTGTCTACCTACATAGCATCATAAAAATAATTAGCTTATACTTTATTGCTTCCGTTTTATAATTAGCTGTCGATTTATTTGTAGATGAGAGCTTCATTGAAAATTCACGGTCATCGAACAGCATACAGCGCAGACATCGGTTGATGGTGGTCATCAGGTTATAAGAAGATGTGATCGTTTGTCTAAACAAGAAACTAGGCTGGTGTCTTTTGGCCCAACGCTGCACCCATCCAGAAATGGGCTGTGGCCACAGTAAAATTAATATTTATCCTAGGAAATCTAGAAACAAAACTAATAATAAAAAATCAGGTGAGCTGTGGTCAGTTTTACAATTACGTTATAATATGTGGATGCTTACATCTGTGATGGTAGTAGTAAAATTATTCAAGTGTTGCTCTGGCATAGAAAATTACATTTACGGGGTTAATAATTAACATACTTCACAGTTTGTAATTTCATGTGCTACACCCAAAGTTATACTTGTTTGTAGAATTGGTAAAGTAAAATGGAAAAGTACCACTCTTTATGTCGCTGTAAATTTATCTTATCTGTTAATAAAGTATTTTATGTCGTAAATCTATATCTACAACTAAATTAATAAATTTCAGTTTGAAACGTTAAACAAAAAATACATATTAACGAAAACTAATTACGTTACTATATAACTAAATAGTTATACATCTAATGAAAAAAAAAAGCTACGAATCGGTTAAAATTTTAGTTTTATCTGAAGAGACCAAAGTCACGTACAGCACCGGAAAGACACATGATCATCTAGGTAAAATAACAAGAGAAGAATTAGGTATGAAATGTAGCAACAGTTTTTCTCTAAGATGCCAATATTACAAAAGTAATGGACATTTAAGTATTAAATATAAATAGCTATTCTAAAAATGTCTCAAAATTAATCAGCGGTAAAATACGGTGCTTAGACTTTATTTGGACAAATTTTAAATAACAGAATTATAAAAAATTTCTTTACATTTAAATCTACAATCGCTGTCAAAGAAAACTGGACCACTTTGACATACACAAAGTTTTAATTGTGTATTTTTTTAATATATGTAATAGCAATGTAATAATATACTATATACAATATAATAATAATACGTACGCTCCGCCTAATATGTACGCTCCTGATTTGAAAACAAAGGACGGTAACTTTGTCAACATTATTTGATTTGTCAACTAAAACTTTAACTGAAACATCTTTTTTTTTTATTTTAAAGTGTGTATCAAAACCTAGTGGTCCAGTGTTCTATGGCCGCAACTGTACAGAAATACATCGTATCTAGAGATGTTAATGAATAAAAAATGGTTAGTTTCAATTGTTTGAGACGTGTTTTTTTTTTGTTGTCATTAATTTTTTTTAATTACCTTTTTCAAATATTTGATGAGACTGATATTAGTTTTTGTCACAAAGAATTCGTACCTCATTAACAAAATTTTATATCAAGCTAAATTTCTTAAAGATCAGTATTACTTGTTGGTAAATGTGTCCGTTTAATATAATGTAATATTTATATGTTGCACTGATTTATTTTGTCAGAATTTTATTTTTCACCGGATTACCAAATCACATGTGAACCGCCGCTGAAAAATATACAGGTCGCTAGAATGCATGTAAATGGTTAAATATCTTGAGAACTAATTATACAAATCAACTGAAATTAGGTATTAAGATACAAGAAGTTGTGGTCTAATTATTTGCCAAAAATATATTTTTTTGCTTCATTTGTTTTTGAGGTGCAAGGTCACCTTGATTCTTTTTAAATGACACTACCATATAATTAATGCATTTTTGAATAGAACTTTTTTTTAATTCATTGATATAGCACAATCATACTTCCTTTCTGATTGAAATGGAAAAATAAATGATTAAATAATAATAATTAAGAATTATTAACTTTAATTAATATTAAACAATAAAGTAATTACTAATTAACCAATAACAACCGAAACCAAAATTAAACTTTTGTTTTCTATAAAAAATGCTCAAAATACTCTCCATTTACTTCCTGGCAGTAAAAAAAACGCTGAATAAAATTTTGTAGTGAGTTAATGAGAATTTCTGGACGAATGCTAGCAATTTCGTTACGTATGCGTTCTTGTAAGTCCGTAATGTGAATCGGTCTATTGATATAAATCCGATTCTTTAAATAGCCCCACAAAAAAATCAAACGTTGTCAAATCTGGTAGCCTGGCAGGCCACTCACAATGCTACGCCTTCGGACTATCCATCTGCCAGGAAAAGTTTCATTTAAGTATTGTCGCACTTGGCGTCCAAAATGGGGTGGAGCACTGTCTTGTTGAAGTCAAATAGTTTCTGCTGGTAGATAAGTCCGGATTTGGTAATTGGGAAACAATTATCTAAGTCTAGGCACTATACGTTCCCGCACAGCCTTAAGTATCCCTCAGAATTCAAATTCCCATTTCTAAAAAAAGGACCAATTACATTAAGCGGTATTATTCGTTACATGGTAACGAATCGCACCAAACATTTAGTTTTTCTAGACGCTGTGTGTGGATTTGCGCCACCCAGTGTGGAGTTGTGTCTGTTCACATGACCATTTAAACAAAAAGTAGAATTGTCAGAAAACAAAATCCTGTTGATAAAATTTCCACCTTGTTGTATTCTGTTCATAATAATTTCGGTGAATTCAACTCTTTGATCAAAATTATCTTCGTTTAAATCTTGTACCGGATGGATTTTGTATGTGTGAAACTTTCCCCTTTTTATTACTGTTTGAATTGATTTTCTACTAACGTTGTAATTCAGTGTTAGTTATTGCACTGACGTTTTGGAATTTTTTGTTGCGTCTAAGAGGACATTAAGGGCATTTTCATCATTTGTAGCAGTTTTTGGCGGGCCAGGTTTTGAACGTTCTTCAACACTTCCAGTTTCAAAAATCATGGTAGGATTTTTGAAACCGTTGACTTAGAAATGGGTTCTCGCTCAGAATGAATTTCATTGAAAAGTATTACTACTTCAGCAAAACTTCGTCTTTTGTCACCGTAACCGATAGTTATTAATAATTCTATGCGCTTAGTTTCACTTAGATGCACCATTTTTGCAAGAAACATCTTACATGCCAAATTAAAATTATTTTCAAAGGTAAGTACGTCTTCTTTCTTTTTTTATTTATTCTCATTTAAAATAATTTATTTTGCCATTTCAATAAGAAAGAAAGTGTGATTGTATTACATCAATGAATTCAGAAAAAAAAGCTCTATTCAAAAATGCATTAATTATATGGTAGTGCCATTTTAAACAAATCAAGTTGACCTTGCATCTCGAAAATAAATGAAGCAAAAAACATTTTTTTGACAAATCAAGAAAAAATTAAAAAAATTTGACGTCAATTAAATGCCATTGTCAACCATGTCAGTTTTGAGAAAAGGAAGTAAAAAGTGATAGACCTATCATTTTCAAGTACAATTCATGGATAGGTACCAACTGAAACACTATTTGTTGCTCGTGCTGTACAACCCCACCTAAGATATTAAATTTCTAAAAATTGTCGTACAGACAACAATGAAAAATCGAATACAATGCAAACCTAAGATATCAATTAAAAAAGAACGTTGCTATAAACTAAACATCCCGCCAAAAGTAAATACATATTTGCATATGAACAAAATTTTAAAATCCGCGAAAAATTCAAAATTTGACCTTAAACTGTGATCATCAACAACATGTAACCTTACGTTGTGAGTCGAAAAATGGCGAAATGCATTCAAATTCAAAGAGATGCACCCCAAAGTAGGAAAAATGCCCCTAAATCAAAATGCAAATTATGAAGGACAAATTGTATATTCCTCCATTAACTGCAAAAAAGAGAACTTATTACCCAGCTTCAAAAACATTTTGTAACTTTCAGAAAAGAAAATGAAATGTTACATATAGACACAAATATTTGTAGGTACATCACAAATACTCAAGTCTTTAGAATGGTGTGATGGCAAATAAATCGTAAATTAAATTGTCGTGTTGGTCGCGCTGCATCACGTGATCATGAGAGTTCCACAAAACTCTTGGGGTGGGACTGGTAGTGTATAACTGTGCGGCGAAGAGGGGTGGTTCTGAGCAGTTTCTGAGTCGGACCGATTTTTCGTGATAAATGATGATTTACTCGCTATTTTTGCTTAAAAAATTGACCTTTTATGAAATTACAAGCAAAATTAGGTGTACCATTAACTTTAACACACGTTTTCTCAGCACTAACTAAACAAGAAATGACAGCCAAAAATTAGGAAAAAGTGAAAACAAGTGTGTCGAGTGATTTTTAAAATGGAGAAAGTACTATATTCGTATTGTGATTCAGGTCTTTTTTTTTTTGAAAGAAACACGACAAAAGAAATCCATGAAAGAGTTTTTCCTACATTGGTACGACGCCTATGGACCGTCGAGAACTTTCTAGGCCGGACGGCAATAACGGATGACGCGTCGTTGGTGACGCAGCCCAGCGACGTTCGAAAAGCCTGGAAACAGAAGTCGCGAATACTCAATTCGAGAAAGACCTGGATCGCCGAAGTATGGATTCAAATAGAGGTCGCCTTCGGGAACGAATTATTCAGCTAGTTGAGTCAAGAGCGTCCAGTGAAATTCGATGGAATAATTTCTTTACATAATCGTTGCAATAGTTAGTCGTGTAAACACGAGTTATTAAGAAATAAATCCCCGTTCAACGTAACAATATTCTCCTTTGAATACCATTCGTGTTTGGGTTAATTACTTCAAGCGCAGCAGAATATTCACTGAAGACGCACCATGTTGTGGAAGTCCAAAAACTGCCATCATATCAGACGTTACTGTGTGGTATGATGCCGGACGCAAAAAGGCGGGCATTATACCTTTGAAACATGGAGGTAGAATGACAGGAGAGAACATGCCTCTTTGAACCAATGTTAAAGAAACGCCGGCAAAAGAACTCCACCCAAGAGTCATTTATGACCCGTTCCGTACTACATTGGGAACGGTCGGTCCACGACGAAGGATCAGAGGCGGTGCCGTTTGGTTTAAAATGAGTACATAGGTAGTAAAAACGTCTTAAAACGTTAATTATGAATATGATACCTACGTATAAAAACAAAAATATTTATTGCAACATAAAAATTCTAGTAACGTTTACTTTTAACCTTTTATATTGAATCTTATTAAATTATTTTTGTGTTTTATACCCAGTACTCGGCAAACGCTTTCAAGCACGTCACTGAAACAACCAGTTTCTTGGAAGAGCTGGAAGAGGCATTTATAACTTTAGTCCAAAGCCCGGTACAACGTGCTTTTTCAAACTGTCTTCCCTCCT